TTAATTCATTAAGATAATTTTCATATAAATAAATTCTTATTTGTTCATTTGATATAATATTTAATAAATTATCTAGATCATCAATAAATAATTCTAATTGTTCATTAGTACAAATTTCATTTGATAATTGATTATGACATAAAATTAATGGTTGAAATAATATTGAAAATATTTCATTTTCAATTAATTTTGAATATTTTTTAAATAATTCATTTATTGATATACATATTACAGGCATAAAACGTTTATTATGTATAAGTTCAATAAATTGATATTTAATACATTGAATATATTCATTAGGTTTTAATTGTTTTGGACATGTTGAAAATATTTTTGCTATTGATATATATAAACGATCATTAGGTAATGTTGATTCAAATATTGTTTCAAGTATTTGTTGAATACCATGATTATTTGAATTAATTAATATTGATGTTAAAATATTTCCACAATGATTTTTAAGCCATAAAGGACTATTTATTGTTGTTGATAATAAACGATTTAATAATAAAATTTGTTGAATAAATAAATTTGAAAAATTTTCTTGTAAATAATTTAAATTTTCTTGAAGATTTTTTAATGAAAAATTTTCTGAACAATATTTTAAATTAGGTGAATAAAGTAATTGTAAATGACTAAGAATTAATTCTAATAAATAATTTGAACATAAACGTTGTATTAGAAATGAATTTTTATTTGAATTTATAATTGATTTCATTAAAAAATTTAATATTTGATTAATATTATACATTCGATTATGATGTGTTAAAAGAGTTTTTAATTTTAATAAATGTATTGATGTATTAGAATATTTTAAATAATTTTCTATTGAAATAAATATTCCATCATCAAAATGAATCACAAGACCAAGTAGAATAATAAATGATAATGAACGAGATAGAATAGATTCATCTTGTATACTAAAAAATGGTAAATGTAATGAAATATTTTTTTGTTCATATGAAAGAATTTTTTCAATAAGATTTATATGAATTTGTATATAACGATAATAAACATGTTCATCTTGATTTAATGGTATTATTAAACTAATTGATTTACTTATTTCAAGAAAATGATCAATTGCATTAGAAAATATAAGATTAATAGTTAAGATTTTTTGTTGTTCTTCATCTTCACTGGAAACTAAAATGAAGATATTTTTATTCAATTAAACAGAGAAATTGATCAATAAAAAGATGAACTTATTGATATCGGATTTCTAATAGTTAATTAACAAGAAAAGTATGACTATCAAAGTTTAGATGTATAGTTTAACTATTCAAATTGAAAATATGAATGAAATTTATCATTTCAACATAAATAAAAAAACAAACAAAAACATTTAATTTACTTTTTACTGTTGATATCGGTTTCATTAAATCATCTAAAAGTGATAATAATTGTCGATGATCGAATTCCATGTTTTAATCTATAATATAGTAAAATTATAAGAAAAAATAAATCACTTATAATCGTGTTAAATAAGGTTTGTTTTTGTCTTCAAAGAGTTGTAATAACAAAAACTAAGAGTTATTTTTGAATAGAATTCCAAATATTGCATCTTTCATCGAAATTTATTCAAAAACTGTAATCATTTCTTATATTCACTGAAATTAGACATTAGTATTTCATGGATTTTCAAAATAGTCCATTAGAAATCTATCGAATGCCAATTTCTATTGAAAACTAGTGACATCTGTTATGATTTTCTTGTCTTTCTTGGTATATATTCACAAGAAAAGATTTTCTCAACGATCGAAAAGTACTTGTATCTATATCTATAGGTAATTTTCGTTTGAAATTTAAAACATTAGAAGTTTTTAAATAAATAAAATGAAGAAAGTGTATTTAAAGTTTTAAATTCATTAGAGAAAAACTGATTTTGAATGATTCTGATATTCACATTATTCTTTGATCATCAACAGTCTTTATATCTTTCTATTTCGTAAGTCCTGTTGAATTAAATTCGTTGATATTTATAATCGTTTTCATGTCAATGACTATAATATCTCTTTCTTTTTTTTCAACTTAAAAGAAAAACGTTTTATTAACCATCTTATAACATTCGAAACAATCTATCGAATTATAATTTTACTTCTACATCAATAATCTTTATTTCAGAGAACATGGAACTAGTTTTACTGATCCGAAAGTATTGCAAAAAGTCTTACGCTCTACAACGAGTCTTCTATTAGAGATGTGCAAGATAAACTTCTTTCATATTTTTTATCCTGACTGAGAAAAATTTTCTAATCCTTACCCTACGCGAGGGTTAAACAGCAGACTTCATGAGATTTCTGGACTGAAGTCTACTGTTTTCTCCTCGATCCTACTCTACAAAATGCTTACTCTGCACAACTGTACTTTCTATGCAGTTAAATAACACTAAGTTACATCAACTTAGAGTAGTATCACTTATTATGGCATTCAGATGACTATCTCTTTTTATTTTCAAATAATTTACATTTTGGATATCTAGCTCCAGATAACTTATTTCACTTCTCTATTGCGTATTCTGCTTCTCAAACCACATTGGATTGAACAAGTTCGTTTGTCATCATCTCAATTCAGTATTACAATTTGTTATGTAAATATCAAAACAATAGTTCTCAAAAAAATGAGAATAGTCTTCATTGAAATCATAATAAAAAATAATTTCTAGATCTCATTGAGAATTTTTAGCAACAAAGGACAACAATGAGAAAAATTTTATTGAACACAAAAAAATAATATATAGGGTGGTCCAGAAGTTACCGGGCAGTCTTTGATTACGAATAACTTTTGATAGAAACAAGATAGAGAGGTGCAGTTTTCATCGTTGGAAAGACAATGCTTTACTAAATACTTCTCTATATTATCGCCAATATAGATTGATTATAAAATAATCAGTCGGCGATCTTTGGAAAAATAATGATAGTTCTATGAATGTGACATAGGATAGAGTGGTCTAAAAATCATTCGATTATGTGTAATTGAAAATAACTCTTGTTCTCTTCGTTTAAACAAAGCTTTTCGCATCTCTTTCTTATTGTCATTGACTATGTATCTCTAGTCAATTTGTTATTGCTTCTTGTTCGTTTGCTCTTTTAGCACATATCGTGTTCCTTTTTCTCTTTCCATTTGCGTTGTGCATTTCTCTTCTTTCAACGCATTCTTTTCTTGAGCGTGCGAGATATTTATAAGTGAAAAGATAAGGAACAGAGGGGAATTTTTTGACAAAAGCGAATGGGAAGCATATTTTTGGTTGCTTTTGTTTTCTTTTGCACGAGTGTGTTAATTGTGCCTAGCGAAAAGAATAAAATTAATACTCATATTTAGTATTTTCTGTTTCTGGTTCGAACAGTATATTGTTTTAAGTTATATCTGATGATAGCAGAAGGTCCAGAACAAAGGCCCACTATAGAGCAACGAGTATTTGTGGTAAAAAGTTTTTATCAGACGAACAACAAGACTGAGACCTGTCGCCTTTTTAATAAACAATTCAATCGTCAAATCAAACGTGACACCGTTGCAGATATTGTTGATCGATTTGAAGAAAACGGCACAGTTGATGAGAACAGATGATCAGGTCGACCTCCTACTGTTCACACAGTAGAAAACAAAGCTGCTGTTAAATCTCTTTTTACCAACGATCCCACAACATCAACAAGATGTACTGCATCTGAGCTTAGCATTTCGAAAACGTCAATTCTACGGATTTTATCCGAGTTGAAATTGCGTCTGTACCGTCCTCGCCTAGTGCAACAGTGGAACGATGATGATGATCCCGATCGAAGGATTGAATTTTGTGAAAAACTTCTGACGATGGTCGACGAGGATGATAGTATTCTTGATAAGGTTATTCGGTCAGATGAAGCAATTTTCAAACTTAATGGGCACGTCAACAGGCATAACTCAGTTTACTAGGCAACCGAAAATCCTCGAGTCGATATAGAAAGAGACTTCAATGTACCTGGCATCTGCGTTTGGATAGGTCTGCCATCGTATGGTATTATTGGTCCGTAGTTTTTTACTTCTACTGTCACTGGTGAGAGCTATGTAGAAATGTTACAGAATTATTTTCAGCCTGTAATCGCCGACAGGCCAAATTTGAATGACTTCTGGTATCAACTCGATGGTTCTCTGGCTCACTAAAGTCGCATTCCTCGCGAATATTTGGACGAGACGTTTTCTTGGAGATGGATGGGTCGTTGGGGTCCAATTGACTGGCCCCCAAGATTGTCTGATTTGTCAGCACCCGATTTTTTTTTGCATGAGGTGTTGTAAAAGACGCGGTTTATTCAAAGAAGCCCATGTCGATTGATCAGTTACAAGATGAGATTATTAATGCGTTTCAACAGACTTCAACTGACTTATGTAAAAAAGTCTGTCGGTCCATGGAATCTCGCCTTCACAAGTGCATTGAAGCTGACGGTTTCCACTTCGAACAAGACTATTAACTGATTATAATGTGACTTTCTTTGAATCAAATACTATCTGATATTGATGCTAAATGTGAAAAACACAGCATAAACGAAAATTTAATAGCAATTACAGATTATCAAATGATTTTTAGACCACTCTATCCTATGTCACATTCATAGAACTATCATTGTTTTTCCAAAGATCCCCGACTGATTATTTTATAATCAATCTATATTGGCGATAATATAGGTAAGTATTCAGTAAAGCATTGTCTTTCCAACGATGAAAACCGCACCTCTCTATCTTGTTTCTATCAAAATTTATTCGTAATCAAAGACTGCCTGGTAACTTCTGGACCACCCTGTATATATATACGTATAGAACAAAATTCAGCCTACAAGGGAAAACATAAATGATTGATCGTATATGTATATATACAATAAGGCACATAGGTATTTACGATGAGCAAAAAAATAAAAATAAATAAACTAAAAAGTCACCGTTTAAGGTTCACAGAAAAAAAGAAAATGAAACAAAAATAAAATAGATTAAGGCAAAGAAAGAAAAAAAAAGCACCATCGGGTAAGAGTTATTTACTAAGAACCATTTGTATTTGTATTGTCATTTTCCCGATGAGATAAATGCCCTTGAAGTTTTTGATATTGCGTCCACTAAATATAAAATGAATATGAAAATATCCATAATAATCTAAATTTTTTTTTTTTACCATATGAGTTGGATCAATAGCTGGATGTTGTACATGAATTCCTTTTTTACAAAATGTATTTAAATGTGCGATACCTAATAATGAAAAAAAATTTTTTTCTAATTTGAATTTTGTTTTTTTTTTTATACCTCGTTCTTCCATTCGATTATATTTTGTAATCCATTCATGTACAAGTAAATTATAATAACGTGGTGTTTCAAAATATTTTAAGTATTTTCGTGTTTGATTTGTTGGAAAAATACGTTCAAATGAACCACGTCGTGCATATTCATCTTCTGTTTCAATTAGAATTCTTATATCATCTGGTGTTAAAACATCTAGAATATTTCTTCGAGCGTGCTAGAAGAAAAATAACAAAAAAAAAAATTGTTTGAAGAAAATTAAATTTCTATTGTTTGTTTGTTCTTTTTTTTTCTTTTTACTTCATCATGATAACGTTGAGCAAAATATTGATGTTTTAGTTTTTCATCTGTTGATAATGCTTGTGGAAGAGCTCGACGATCGAATATAAGACTCTTTGGTAATTTTGGTTTTCTATAATACAAAAAAAATATAAACAAAGAATTAATTTAATATTTAAATTAAATAAAATCATCAAGTTACCTTCGTGCTGAACCTTCATATAAAGTATCTCTTCGATCTGGTATCATAAAACCACTTAAATTAAGTAAATCACTTATCATCGCACCTTTTATACTTATATCTAATGGTGAATTTGAATGTAAACTAATAAGCAATGAAATGAAATTTTTTATTGATTTTATTTGAAATAAAATGAAAATCTATTTTTTTACCTTGGAGAAATATTTACTTCAACAATATATGGTTTACATTGTTCATCAAGTATAACATCAAAACCGAATAGTTCATGAACACTAAATTTTCGTCGAACATTAGCTTTTGTCAATACATTAATGTACGCATCAGCACTAGAATTTAATATTAAAAGAAAAGAAAAGCTATTAGCACAATTCTTTTGAGACTAAAATGTAAAACACAATGTAGCTATTCTTGCTAATCATAGGGAGATTGTTAAGCATGGTTTTGTGATTGTATCTTTACGATCAATTCCTATGAAATTTGAATTTCGTTTTTGAACTACGGGTAGTACGAACAAGAAAATCGCGCCTAATGATAAATTGTTTTCGAGGTTAATCTTATATCATTAGACAACTTCTATTGTGATTAGGGAAAGTCTAAAATAATTTGCATCGATGACTCTTCTTGAATTATCGATATTTTTGAGAGTTTTTCAACAAGCTGTCGTGATCTATCTTAGATCATCTTCAAAATCAATTTTCGAGTTTTCAGTTTAAACTTTTCACTATATCTTATATTCACATACTAATATTGGAAATTCTGTGATATGAAAAAACTAATGTTGTACTTCTATTTATATCTCACGATACGAAATACTAGAAAATCTGATACTTTCACAATGAATAAGTTCCATTACTAGAAATACTTGACGACTAATACAATAAATCATTATATACAGATATTCACTTGATCGTAATAATAAAATAAATCTAGTCCATCATAGAAAAGAGTTTTTTTTAACGAGAAAAAGAAAAGTGTTGTTTTGGCTCAGTCAATCAATATTATGTTTGAACTATAAATTAAATCATACAAACCTAATAATTGTTTTAATAATTAAATCTTTAATTTTTTCCATAACATCTGTTACATCAACATCACGTTTTTTCAAATATGTCCACAATGCTTTTAAACTCCTATATATGAAATTCATAGAAATGAAATCTGTTTTTTTTTTGCAAACATCTATCTAACTTACCATTTATGCCCAGTACATGCACCTGAATCATTATTTGTTCTATATTCACTATTATAACGATTAATTGAATAATTCGTCAAATGCATAAAACGATCACTTAAGGATTTAGTTGCCGGAGAATATCTATTTTCAAGTAAATTCTATTGAAAATTCTTTTCTTTTTTTTTTAACAATACATACTTTCTCGAAGCAAATCGAGCTAAACCTATTTAAAAAAAATTATTTAAAAAAAAATCTCAAAAAAAAAGAAACAAACTCTTACCATCATCAAAAAGATAAATTCGTAATGGATCATGTGATGTAACATAAACATAAAGTCTTAAATCAAATTTATGTCCATTAATTAAATATGGATTAGCAATATATCTATTTTTTTTGAAAATAAAAAAAAAGAGAGCAAAATTATAATTTTCATTTTTGAAATAAAAATATACTTTTGTACAATGACTGGACGTTTTTTTGGTACATGTTCCATTTTACTAATAACCTAAATAAATGGAATATTTTTCTGTTATTTTTTTTCAAATAATGAAAAATAAACACTTACTCGAATACCTTGCCCTCGAGCACTAGCTGGCTGAAAAATACACATTTATTTATTTATTTTTCTTTACTAATGAAAAAAAAATATATTTTTTAATTTTAAAATACACACTGGTTTAATAATCCATTTTGATTCTTTAGTATCTGTTATTTCTTCAAATACACGTTTAAATAATAAGAGATCAGCTGGTAAGACAAATGTTTGTGGTACAAAATCAAATTCACGTCTTGAATGTACAGCTTGCATATGTGATAAATTTCGCCATAGACGATCTTTTCGACCAATTTGAAATGAACCTGGAAAGTGATTGACCTTGAAAGAATAAAACAAATAAAATTATATAAGTTCATTTTATGGAACACGATCTGAAAGAAGTGTTGAAGTATAGAGGTAAAAATTTGAACCTTCATTAACCTTGACAGACATAACCATAGAAACCTCATAGAAGCCTTAGAAACATTCCCCACTTCTCCTGCGTCACAAACCGCAAGCAACCTTGATGATATACGATTACAGATCGTATGTCAATAACGTCTCATTATAATATCTGACCTGACCTACTTCCTTATTGCATTATTGAATAATTAAGTAAAAAGATGATGAAGAAATGTGTCTCAAAATAGAAAGAATAAAATAATCTCTCTGTGATTATCTACAACAGCTACACTTGTTTCATATTTTAATCTCAAAAGAATTACATTACAATCTTTTTCTAATAATATGAAACCATTATTAGACTACATTTGCATTAATAAATAAAACTTATATCTTGTTTTTTGTTTTTTTCTTTTCGTTGCTAACCTTTTGATATTCACGAATTGCTTTAAAACAAATCGGTTTCATATGACGTGACCATGTACCAAGCCAATCATTACCCTCTGTGAGAAAGATTAGTAATTTATTTATTTAAAAAAAATTGATAAAAAAAGAGAAACTTACCATCACCTAAAAGAAACGAAAAAACAAAAAAATTTATTTTAATAAATTTAGTTTAGATAAAACTTACTGTTAATTAAACGAAAACCAGAACGTGTTATAGTATTTTTAACAACATTTGGTGTTATTGTACTCATTTTCCATTTCATCATTTTTCGTAATGGTAATGGAAGTGGTTCAACTAAATATAATAAGATTAAAATAAAGAGACTTATTTAAAAAAAAAATGAAATTTATACTTCGTTGATTTTCTGTACAAAATCGAATAGTTGGTGGAACATTAATAAATAAACTTGGTATGAGACCAGGTTTAACTTCTGTATTACCAACTCTACGAGCTATATAAGAAAGAAAAGATATTTATTTCATTTTAAAATTAATTAATACTTACTTTTATCGGAGAGAAGTAAAGCTGGATCGAGCGGAAATGCACTGTCTGCCTCAACTATTAAAAATGAGAAGAAAGAAAAAAATATATATATTTCGAATTTTATAAATAATTGTAAGACATACCATCACTTTCTGAACTACGAACTGATTCTTCTTCAAGTTCGGCTTCATATTCTTCATCTTCTACTTCAAATGGATCTTTATCCAGTGTTCTAGAAAGAATAGAGAATTAGTTTTTGAATTTATAGAGTTTTTTCGACACGACGCAATCATATTTCTAATCTATAGGTTATAAAAGACACTTTAGAATTCTTACTGTTGTTGTTGTAAAAAATTAATATTTTCTTCTTCGATCAACTCCTCAAAAACCTCATCATTTTCTTCAAATGACTCTTTATCAGCAAGATCATCTTGCAATATTGTCGTATTTGTTGTTGTAGTCGATAGTGAAACAACAAGTTTTTGACTTGATTGACTGATATCTGATAGTGTTGTTCGATTGTAATTTTCTCTTGGTGTTGTTCTTGATTTACTTGGTGTTCTTGGTAAAATATTTGTTCGGGTAATAACACGATGTCGTTCAATAACGCGTGTTCGTATAAGATATTCAAGTTTTAAATTAAGTTGATAAGTTAATTCTTGTGGTGTTAAAGTTTTTTTATCATTATTGTTCTCTGGAGGTATTTGTATTGGTAAACGATTTATATCTGTTACTGATTTATGTTGATTACGTTTTAATTGTTCAATAAATGTTATTGTTTGTTCGAAGGTTGCTGTTATTTCTGGTCGTTTTCTAGCTGAATTACATAAATCTTGACGACGTTGTAATAACTTTTGATAATTACCATTTGAATTTGATAAAGATACATGATGAGG